AACTGTAATTGTTTTTATAAAAAATACTTTTTTCTTTAGCCCTTTCTTTGGAAGGCAGCACCAAGGGCTGCTGACTTTCAGACTCTCTCCTAGATTCTGGTTTATCTTCTAACCATTAAAACAGGAAGGTAGTTATAGTCCTCTGACTTCTAAAAGTTAAATTCACAGGTTTAACCTTTCTTCTTACGCATTGCTCGTTGGCTGGGGCGTAAGAGACAAAAGCGATGAACCGGGCCTCCCTCTCCAGACCTGCCTTCTCTATTCACCGGTTCCGGCAGCCGGAACACCGTGGGAAGCTCCTGTTTGGTTTTGTGTCGGCCCTTTCGCCCTGCCGTCCCTGCCCGGTGACTCCCAAGCTGGCTCTCAGGTGCCCGTCTGCCCGAGTACGCTGGGTGCGTCCCTGAAAACTGGTGGTGTGTTAAGAGCTGCCAAGGGGCTCTGCCGGATCTGGGACCAGGTCGTCACAGTCCGCATCGCAGCGGGCAGCCGCCCCGACGGGTCGTGGGCACCTGGTCCCGGGTGCCCGTCTGCTCGGACAAGAGGAGCACAGAGGCCCGAGACAGAGCACGCGTGCGGAGGAGGCAGTAAGAGAAGGCGAAGGAGCCGAGGAGGGACAGCAGGGGATGTGTGGGCAGCGGGGACAGAGTCCCTGACACAGAGGACATGAATGGAATTGTAGAAAACAGGAGGCAGCCAGCCGGAAAAATGATTGCGAGGATGTTGACCCACCGGAAGGCTGTCAGAAGGCTGTTGCCCAAGCGAATGTGCACGGTGGAGAAGTGGAGCTCGCACACGCGGTCTGCCTGCAGAGGCCCGGAAGGGTTGGCAGACACCCGGGGGGGGGGGGGTGGGCAGCCGCCCTTGTCCGAGAGAGGGGGGCCGCTCCGGGAGGCACAGGCAGCTAAGAGGAAGAGGCGAGCAGAGCAGACCTGGGGTGACAGTTCGGAGACGGCTTAGCTGGACCCGCCTTTTCGGCCGACCCATCGGCGCTCGCGGTGTGGCTTGTGAGGGGTCACCCTGTCTCGGGCCCCGCCGTGTGGGGGTGCCATGGCCTGCCTCAGGGCTGCCAGGGGCTCGCTGAGGAAGAAGCCTCTGCCGCCGCTCAGGCTGAGACCCCTGCCGGGGGGAGGGAGCCACAGCATGAGCCCGCGGGCCGGCCAGACCGACCCTGGGCCACCAGCTCCTGTGCGGAACTAGAAGAGGGTGCACGAGGGAGGCTGTGGAATCTCAGAATCTAGAGAATTCAAGGCGGATAGGAGCCTGTCTTTCGCGAATGACGGAGTCTGGTTTAAAAACAATGACGACGAGCAAGCATCAGCTTACTTTAACGTGTACTGGGCGTATCGTACCTTCCTGCAGACGGAGTTGAGGAGAATCGTGGAATCAGTTCTTTCTAGCAACTCTTGGGCCAGGACTTTTTGGCCCTCGCTGCCTCCGGCTGGAGGAGCTCATAGAGATGTGAGCACCCGACTGGGCTCCTGCAGGCACCGACGGTGGCCTCTCGGGCAAACCCCCGGCTTCTCTTGCAGTCACTTCCTTTAACTCTAAAGTAGGAGTTGTCTAATGTCAGGTCACAGGGGGATGAAATGAGAGCACCAAGAAGAGTGGAAACCCCTTGCCGACGTGCGGGGACCCCAGAAATGGGAGCGGCCTTGGGACGTGAGAGGGGAGCCCAGCCAACAGGTGCCTCCATTGTCCGTCCTGCCACCCGTCTGCAGTGACCGGGGGGGGGCGGGGGGAAGGGGGCAAGTGCTTACATGCCAGGCCACCGTCTCCTGCTTCTCGTTAGTTAATCCACCCTGGCTTCAGGGTGCAGTCAGAAGTCTGAAGGCGCAGGGTGCCTGGGTGGCTCAGACTCTTGCTTTCAGCTCAGGTCTTGATCTTGATCTCCGGGTCCTGAGTTCAAGCCCCACATTGGGCTCCACACTGGTCATGGAGCATCCTTTCATGGCTGTCAGCAAAGAGGAAGGCTGCATGGGTGGAAGGGAGGAAAATGTATCCATAGTCCAGCTTCTAGCTGAGCTTCTGCTCCTCCTCCCCTAGCAGTATAGACAATCGGTAAGACACTGTTCCTTTTTTTTTTTTTTTTTCCCTTTCTTTAATTCAACAACAGTTTGTCGAGCACCTACTCTACCCCTGGACCATACTCTTATCCTACAAGAACTTGCTGCTAAAAAGGGACAGTGAGAACAGCCCATTAATTACTTGAATGTTCAGCGGAAGTGGGGCATAGAAAGGAGACAGGAAGGTTCCGTGACTGCCCTTGAAAGATGGGGAAGAACTGATGGCACAGAGAGCTCTTCGTTGAAGCGTGGCTCTTTCCTTGTAGGAAACTGCAAATGGGTCCTCTTGTTTGTTTAGTTTCCTTGGACGTGGAGGGGAGGGGACCCGTGAGGAATGAAGTAGAAAGTACCGTGAATGGCCCAAAATATCAACCTAAGAAACACAGACCTTTTTTTCTGTTGACCATGGAGTGCCTGTATCCATATTCTAGAATATTATGCCATGGTTAGCATATGCACCAACATGAATCAGATTCCCAGACCTGTCATTTAATGGAAAATGCGCGATGCGGAAAGATACGCCCAGTGTGATGTCACCGGTGGAAGAATACTACACAAAGCTATTCGGTGTGTTTGTGTTCCGAGAGGGCCCACTCCAGACTGATAACAGTGGTTACCTTTGAGGCAAGAAGAAATTAGGGTTTAGGGATGTGCAGAGTGTTGAAGGCAGACAGTCGGCATTTTTGGTGATCTTTCTGTTGTGTTGTAACAAGGAAAATGTTATCTTGCCACTAAAATACAGTTTTAAAATTCAAAAGATAACACAGTCATTGGCTTATTTCCCACCTCTTAAATTTTCAATTAGAGCTCGCACGTTCTGAGAATTGGGAAGATATTCTCTGGAACCAAACGAAATCCAGGGGTTGAACAAAAAAGGGTCCCATCCCCTCCGAGCCTGCAGAGACCCGGGACTCTTCAGGACACCTTCATCACCAGCTTGAGCAGTGTCATTCGTTTGGGTCCTCGGTGACCAGTGGCAGGTGGGGAAGGATGCTCTCCACCCGCACTGCTCTGGCAGGAGCATTCCCTTTCCCGCCCGCGACTGGATCCCACCCCGTGGCGGTGGCTGGCTCCGGGCAGCAGTGGTGACTATGTTTTTCTCTTTCCTGGCACCGGGATCATTTTCTTGGAGAGTCTCTGTGGACGTTGGCAAATAGTTTTGGCCTTCTTCCAAGAGATTGGGTTTATACCAGTCTAAATGAGGCAGGCATTTAATCAGTCACCCAGGGAACATGCTCGAGGCCCTCTGGTGTCTTCTTTATAATTAATTTTTAACATTTGTTTTCAGTATAAAATTTGGGCCTTTATCCTCTTTGAAATAGAAACGTAGTATGTGTATTAGACTGTATTGGCACTAAACTTCACACACCATTCTTTTATTCCCTTCCAACTATTAACTCCTATTAAGCAAGACAGAGAGATAATAAGATCCCCCTGCACTCCCCCGACTCGCTGGCTTGCACAGTGTCTCATCCTCCGTAATTGCCTTCGGTGGCCAAGCTCTTTCCTATCATTAGTGTGCATCAGAGGCTACTTGTCAGAGACCCGGCCACCTCCCAAGCTGTGCCCTCTGCCACGTGCCCCTTCCGTGCCCGGACTCTCCCTGCCCCAACCGCTCTGGGAGGCCCAGCTGACTGAAGCTGTTGTTAACAAGACACAGCGGGCATTTCTGGATTTTTAACCCTGGGATTTAAACTTGAACTGCTGTAGATTATTTCCTGTTTGTTTGACCTGCTCTTGTCTCTCGGGAGCCCATGCCCAGGCCAAGGAGACCAGAAGCCTCCCGGTGGTTCTCGAACCTTGGTATGGACCAACATCCAGGAGGGTTGACTGAAAGCACAGATTCCAAGGCCTCTCCCTAGATATACTGAATCAAATCAAAGCTGAGTAATTCTTTGTAAGTTACTCAGTTAAGCGATTGATTTTCACTTTCTTTCAGAGAAATTTCAACACAAACGTATCTTTACCTTTCAGTGTGCTGGGTCCTCAGGCCTGCCACATACCTCGTGTGCAGATTAGAAACAGGGACCCTTCTTTCTGGGTAGCTTTAAGCCACAGAGGAGGCAAGGATTGGACAAAAGAGGAGGCCCCGTTTGTCTCCTTGGCCAGGAGTCTTTGTGCAGTTAACAACCTATACGTTCACACATGACAACCTTCCTTCCTCTGTGCTCTGATAAAGCAAATAGGTATCCTTGAGTACCTACACGTGTAAGCATAAGGCCAGGAATTTTTCTTACATAGTTATTACCAAGAACCCTGACAGAAACTCTTAAGGTTTTATGTTGAGGAAGTTAAGGCTCAAAAAGTTGATTTCCCTAAGATAACAACAGTCAGAAGCTGAACCAGATTAAGACCCAAGTCAGGCACTGATGTGGCGAGCGGTTGCACTAATAGGAAATTATTTACAGCCAGTGCCTAGCTTCTGCAACAAGGCCACGGTAATTCCGCGTCCTTCTTCCCTCTGAGAATCCTGCTAACTCAGGAGCCTGGGAAAGACCCCCCGGGCCAGGTGTTAGCTGCCTCTCTTCACGATGGGAGTGAGCAGAAGCCTCAGGCCTCCACATGATGGATGAGGAAGTGTTTATGAAGTACCGGGAGACCTGAGCAAAAGGCGTGCGATGTGGTAAAGCGTTTATGATCGCGTGTTTATTATTAGCAACCGTATCACTTTTTGCAGGCCAACCACCATGATTTAAAAAGTCCTGTTTCTCTTTTCGTCACGTGTAGGAATGTGAGCACGGGTCTGAAATTCAGAAGGGATCATGAAATCAGAGTCGGTGAGGACCAGCTCCTAAAAAGTTGTCCTGCCCTCTCAATTAGCAGCTTGGCAATTTGTCTTCTGGAGGGAGCGGTCGCCCCGAGCCCGCGCTGACTTGTTACCCTGAGTGCACGTGTGCTCACCGCCTGGCCCCTCGGCTCCTGGGCGGGTTAGCTATGGCTGTGTCCGGGAACACCCCAGAACTCAGGGCTTCGGGAACAATTCTGTGGTACCCACGTCTGCAAGGCTGCCGGGGTTTGGCCGACCCAGGGTTGGCTCGGTGGGGCCCCTGTGCTTCAGGTGGTGGCAGCTAGGGCTGTGTTATTCGTGTTCCTCGGGGCCCATGGACGGGCAAGGTGGCGGGCACCGTCTGCTCGTGGCGATGTCAGAGGGGCAGTGAAGCAAGTGAAAGTGCATCAGGCCCCTGGCCGCCTGGCCACATTCAGTTCCACAGCCAACCCTACGTCAAGGGGCAGAGAAGCACACCCCTGTCCCCTCTTTAGTGAGAGGAATTGCAAACCACGGGGCAGGCACAGGGGAACAAGGGTCAGGACCCAGGCCAGTAGTACCCCACCACAGCGCCTCGTCCCTGGAGGCTCATTTGGTGGAATCTTCTTCCTGCCTGCTCTCTTTCTTGCAGGCAGTGGAAAAGCCTAGAAATTGTCCCCCTGCCCCCACTACCCCGCCCGCATAGCCACGCTCTCACATGGCACAGAAGCCATCCAGCAGGCCACTCACAGTTTCAGAGAAGGTCTGTCCCACATCACATGTTTTCCATTCGATTCTCAAAAGCTTTTTAAAGGGATTTTTTTTTTCTAGAAATGAATGCCTCCCTCCACACTGAGATCACAGCTTCAGTGTTGCTAAACTTTCTGATAGATTCTGAAACATCCAGATCACCCTCCTCACAGTGAGGGTTGCTCATCGGTGACCCTTCCTCACCTTGGGTGGCTTTGGTTCTCTTCAAACAGATGAAGGATGGGGTCCCCAGGCACCCCTGTAACTCTCGTTAACTCGGGAAGGGGCCCTGGCTTCACCCTCCCACAATGTGCCCTTATCTCCCCTGCCACCAGGTGGCCCCACGGGTAACCTGGGCCCCATCCTTTTCTCCCTTGGGGGCACTATCCTAGCTGAAAGACCGTTTGAGGAGCCAGCTCATCTCTTGGTCCCTAAAACTGGTTGAGCATTAGAATCATCTGGGGAATTGAACCTCCGAGTTCAGATTCCTGGCAGGCCTTGATGACTTAAGGGCAGAGCTGGTGAGAAAGCTTCTTTGGGAACCACTGGCCAGGAATCACAGGCCTAGATTCTAGACTCATTTCTTGCTCTGACCTTCCTTCCCCAAGTTACCCCCCAACTCTGGACCTCAGTGTCTTCATCCAAAAATGAGATGGTTGATTTAAGTTATCTAGAATCCTGCCATGCAAAGTGTGGTCCATGGGGGATTGCTAGAAACAGAATTTGAGACTCCACCCCAGACCTGCTGAATCCTAATCTGCAGGTAATACCTGAAAGCGTTGAATTTTGAGAAGCTCTGTTTTATCAGGTACCTTCTAGGGCGAAGCCAAAGCAGGACCTTCATACACCCCCAAAAGCTGGAAAGCTAGTTGCTCCCTCTTCTGTCCTCTTGGTGAATAATGCTGGCTTGAGGATGATGCAGGCAAAACGAAGCTGGCTTCCTTCTCTTCTTGTGTAGGTTTCCTCGGGTTTTTGTTCTACTGTGTTCCTAAACTTTCTTAGGTGGACTCTGGAGCTCCCCCAGAGCTCTCCTCTTCGTGGGTGGCAGTCTAATCGGTGATCTTTGTTGGGGGACAGAGAGGCTGGTGTCTCTCACATCGCCATTTTCTGTAGGTAGCTTCTAGAAGCCTCGAATTCAGTCCCTGTGAAACCATTTGTCTTCTCCTGTGCCTTCCCTGTTATTCTCCCCCAATTCGTTTTGTGAAAGCCTGTCTTGAAGATGGTGCTGGTCCCTGGTCCCGCCATAGTCCACATTGCAGCTCACTCATATTGCCAGGTTCCAGATTCTCTCTTGCCAAGGACCAAGAGGCAGGAAAACCGAAGAACCTTCTGAGCCATGAGAAGTCAAGAAGAGAGCTGTAGTTAAAATTCCAAGCAAGCCTCATGCAAGTCTGGGTCACTAGACATGTCAGGATCACAAAATAAATTGAATGTTACCAGAGCAGGGAGGAACAGAAAGCAAGTTAGAGAGCCAACAGCAGGGAGAATAGAAGCATGCAGGAAACCTGCTTTCTATTACTGCTTGTCAAAAATACAGGCTGGTGTATGCCCAGGAAAAGAGGTTATAAATTTCCCTTGCTCCGTTCCTTTGCTGTTTTGAAGGGGAATTTGCCGAGGACTTGGAACTGTGCTGATTGGCAATTTATTTGTGAATTGCTTTCTGAAACGGCTTCTCTTCTTTGTTCTCTCCAGTTCACTATAATGAACCATCAGTTTGGGGGGAAATTCCCTTTTCCTTCAAGCCAAGCGCCCCATCCCACTCCACTCCATCGTACCTCCTGCAAAGGATATGGCCATTTAAACGGCAGGCCCCTAAAGGTAACAAAAAGAAGATCTGCCTTCCTGTGCCCTCCTGGAGGCTGCTGAGTATCCCCTGCCTCTCATGGTAGCATGTTGGCTATTATGTATTCTCGTACGTTACTCTGTCAGGAAGCATGGGCCCTTTGTGCATCAAAACCAAAGGATCATCTTTTATTCATGTTTCAAGGCCTAATCCAGGAGCCAAGGACCCTGCAGAACTCTGAGACATTGGACTGAGGGCACTTCCCAAACTTCTTCAGACCAAGGCGACATAGTCATGGTAGAAAACAAGCCAAGTGTCGACTCTGCCCATGAACCGTTTTAATAAGCAGTTGGTGGAACAGGTGCTGAGTGGGCTAAGCTCTTGGTGATGAGGATCACATGAGCTGGTGCGTGCAGTCCCCATTCAGCAGGTGAGGAGACAGGTGAAGTAATAAATGACTCAGGGTCCCAGGCCCGGCAAGAGTGGGCAAGGGTCCAAGTCCTGGCTCTACTGCTCACCCCAAGCCCCTGTCTCCACATTTCTGACCAGGAAATGCCGCTTCCTCATCACACCATTGCCTTGCTTACTTTTTTAAAAAAAATTTTAATGTTATATTTATTTTTGAGAGAGAGACAGAGCACGAGTAGGGGAGGGGCAGAGAGAGAGAGAGAGAGAGAGAGAGAGAGAGAGACAGAATCCGAAGCGGGCTCCAGGCTCCGAGCTGCCAGCACAGAGCCTGATGCGGGGCTCAAACCCACGAGCCGTGAGATCATGACCTGAGCTGAAGTCGGACGCTCAACCGACTGAGCCACCCAGGGGCCCCACTTTTTTTTTTTTTAAAGAACAAATGAGTCTTAGTGTTCAAGACCCAGCTCCAAGTCTCCGCTTCTGGGAAGCCCTCCCGGACTCCCAGTCGCCCCACCCCACTCATGACAGTGTCTGTGTAACCAGTGCTGTTGTTATCATAGTGCCTCGCAGTGAACTCTTCATGGTGTTTCTCATCAGACTCTGAGAGCCTCGAGTCAGAGCCCATCATATCCTTCCAAGTCCCCAGCACGGTACCGGGCACAGATGTCCCTTTTTTTACCTCCATAAGATGAGGGACGTGAGGACTCTGTGTTAAAACAGTCCAAGGGGACACACACGCATGGATGTTTCTCTGTACATGAGCCATATTCTGTTGTGATTGTCACACCTTAAAGCACCTGTAACTCGGCAGGGCAGACGGGGCTAAGGCAGTTCCGGTGACTCGTGAAAGCGGGATGGCAAGGCCTCATCAGGGCCTGCCCTCTGTGGCAGGGGAAACCTCTGTCACAACTGAGCGCCCTGGCCACCCTAATTAACATTTCATAAGATGTCGTGGTTTGTTTCTCTCCATCAGAACCCTGACTTCAGCCATTATTCATGCAGAACTGCTCTGTGAAGGGGTCAGCAGAGCTTGGCATGTTCAAAAAGGTGAGCAGCCATTCGTTTTTCCTCGTGGATTCCCTGTCACAGGGAGACAACCCTGCTCCGAGGCTCAGAAAGGGAGACGGCCGACATAGTGACTGGAAAATGCAAAGGTCGTCCTCGGGCTTCTGGGGAGTTCGTGTCGCAGAGTGCTTAAGAGTGTGGGTGCTGGGGCCTGCTGTCAGGGTGGGATCCCGGCTTGCTGTTGGATAGCCAGGTGACTTGGGCGAGTCAAGGCGGTGGGGTTCTGTTTTTGATTCACTGTGCGATGTGCAGATAACAATGCCTTCCTCAAAGGGCTGCAGAAAGGTTGAAAGGTTAATGGACGTGAGGCACCCGGAATGGCGGCCGATGGTGCTCCTGGTTGGGACATGCCTACTCCACCTGCCTCTAGACTGGAGGCTCCCGGGCAGGGGAGGGGCAGGCCCCTCTCTGTCCCAGGCTTCTCTGTGCTGTCACAGACCCCCGTACAACAGGTCAGAGAGAAGGAGGCAGCCAGTCGATATTTGTGGAGTACACAGGGATCGCTCCTGGCCTTGGTGGGCAGGTTGGGACGTATTATGAGCACAGGAAGAAGCAGTTGCCCTGTGGAATTTAGTAAGCTCCATTTTATAATCAGTGGCTCTTTCTTCAAACAAACAAGGGTTGAGAGCCCTGCCCTGCAACCACAGTGGGTCTGATCCTGCTGAAGATTTTCAGCTCAATTGGTGAAAAGCAGTCATCCTCCAATCACCAGGCACTGAGTCGGGATGGAGGGTAACATGGCCTGTGACCTCATTAGCAACATGAAGTCCACTTAGATGACACAGCGACAGCAGATGGTGTGGAGGACGTCTGCTCCTGTAAACGTCCCACACTCTGGCTCTCGCCTTTCTGATGTTACCAGAGCCGTGTAGCTAAGTCATGGAATCTTCTGCAGTTTGCGGGAAAGCGTCAGCTCAGCAGAACGAGCCTTGCGACAGAAAAGCGTTGGGATGGCAGCCAGGAAGCTTTGGTGCCTCCAAGAAACACTCGGTCCTCTGCTCCCGTGGGGGGGAGGTGGGTGCCCGCGGGGTGTTTGGTCCAGACACACACCTCCCCTAGGTTTGCCTCTACCCTAGCTGTCTAAACACGGTGAGACGTGAGACGCCGTTGCATTGGCTCTGAGGGGCTGACAGGGCCCCCAGAAGTAAGTGGGCGCATGTCTGCAGGAGTGAGATTCGCACAGGGCATGACCGCCCCTGAGGTCTCTTTCTGAGGTGCTGGCCTCGGAATAGCTGTGGCATCACCGTGTCTGGGGAGACGCTACCTGGTGCCCTGGGTGGAGGAGGCCAGCCGTGATCCTGAAAGGTGACTTGGCCTGTCTTAGCAGGAACCGACCGCTGCCGTTGGGAGCGTGGAGCAGTCAGAAAAGATCCTTCTCGTTCATTTTCCAAAAGGCTTTCCAGGCTGATTCAGGGCAGGACCCCCCCACTGAGGTAGCCTCCCCATGTCTCCCTGGACTGCAGGGTGGCGATCAGGCCACTAGGAGTGAATAATGGGACTCTCAGCAGAGTACACATAGTGTGTCTGTCTCCTCCTTCATCATTACCTCTGTGCATGAGAGAACTTGGTGCGGGCCTTAGTTTGGATCCCCCC